GTTATGATTACTCTACTTTTAAAGCATAAATTCGATTTAAACAATAGGTCTACATAATATTCACATATGCTGTTCATAGGGGACGTATTGTATTAGCCCTACAGTTACAGCATGAAATATTATTTTAAAGTTTATATCTCCTAATTCAAACTTTATAACTCGACTTAACTCAAAAATAGTGAGTTTGTCAAATCTGAGGGAAAAAAGAATGACAAGCTGTTTTTCCTTATTAGAATTGTGAGATATAATCTCGGAATTGCGAGAATAAAGTCAGAATTTTGAAATATAAAATCAAATTTACCTTTTTTTATTCTTTTATTCCATGGCTCTATAGACTGCCGCTTGAAAACCGTAATTTTCTGCCTCCAGATAGGCTCCGCCCACAACAAACGTCATCCCTGTTTCGGATCTGTAAGACTATCCCACTCTCTAACGTCAATTTCATTGCATAACAGTGCTTATCGCTGGGTGACAAGCTCTTGTAATATGCGGAGAACATTTTGAAAATGACATCTAATCAATATAATTTATAATCTTTTTAAACCTAACTATTTTGTACCCATCCCTGAAATTCTCTAGCCGTAAAGGCTATCTCTCCCGGGTTTTCTGCAACCATGATGCTCGCGCATCCGGAATGTTTACAAACCTATAATTGGTCTATTGAAAAATATTTAAGTTCAAATTGATATTTCTGACTTTTGGTGGCACATCTGCAAATTTGAGCACAGTTTACTCTCAGTATAATCTAATTTCTTGAAGAAAAAAAAAGACTAAAATATTAGAGATCTTATATGTGATTTTCTTTCCTACGGTTGTATTTTCCACCAAATTACCATAGTTACTGCAGTTATTTTTACACAGTACAACTGTGGTATAAACCAACACTATTGTCAAAAAAAAGTTTTCGCATTTCCAGCATTCTCATAAACAGAAGTCTTCATAGTTGGGAAAACTTCTGTGGTGGTGAATGGAAACTACAACAAATATAATTTTTGCGTTCCCATTTGCCCCAATAAATTAGCCCCAACAGTAAAAGAAAATATCTATGATTTTCTAGCATTTCTGTCACTTTTTTTCTTTTTAACTCTTAATTTTCCCACTTAACAACTGGTGTGACGTACCTCAATCAATAACACGCCATGTTTGTTTGCTTAGGCCAAAGAAGAACTGGTCATGGTTTCTCCCAAGGTTTTTTTTCTCGATTTCTGTCACCTGATGTGTTTGGGTTCCATGCCACTGTCACCTTTTGGCTTGCTTAGTTGTGGTGTAAAAGACATTTCACTTTCAGTAATTTATCGATACGACCCATATGACACCACTGGATGATGGCACTGTTGTTTTCTGTAGCGCTGCTTTACTGCTGAATCACATCTTGCAACATTGACGCTGATCGATTAACTTCACGCTGTTATTGATCTGAACTAACTTGAGCTCAATAATGACACTGTTGTCTTGCAGAGCTTCTTTACAGCAGAATCTGAACTGTCTGAACTGAATTGCTTCTGCGATTTTGTGTTTATCTCTGTGAATCTGCTTTGGCACAGTCTGTTTTGCATAAAGTACTATAGAAATAAAGGTGAATTGACTTTCTAAAAGAGGAAAGTCATTGGTCAGAAGAGAGAAAGATGTCAAATTTGCTGCTTCTCCCTCAGCCATTGTGTCAGAAACTTAATCGTCATATAATAACCAAAGTAATTTTTATGTAATGAAGACAATGTGATGGGTGGATGAGTGGCTGGTGTTTCTTTTTTCTCCCTGTAATCTGTCCCATCTCTGTCTCTCAGGACTCCAATGGTCCACCTCGCTCCGATGCTCCTGCCCCTCCAGTCTTCTCTGCCCTGCGGCCCTCCCGTGGGGTTTCCTCCACCTCGGAGGAAGAAGAGGCACTGACAGAGAAGTTCCTCAAAATCAATTGCAAGTACATCACAGATGGCAAGGTGAGTCAGCGATTGACTTTTCTAGTGGCAACATCTCCGAAGTTGCACAAAAGTTAACTTAAGGAGGAGTCCTCAAGTTAGTCATTAATAAGAACCCTGCTTTTCCTCCATCCTCTGGAGACTGCAAAGCAGCAAGGAGCTCCAAGTTTTGCTTAAAGTGTGGGAGTTGATTTGCTGTCTCCAGCACTGATCTGTTCTCTTTAGTGAATACTCTATGCCTGACGAGTGTAATGCTGTTAATGCAAAAATGATTTTCTCTCACACTGTCAAATCATGCCTGCCCTCAGAGTCACCCCAGCATTTATAGAGTGAATTCACTCTACTGCGTGACCAGTGTCATCTGATTCACGAACAAGTGACTCTTATGAACCTGTTCTTGTAATTAAAGGGGTCATATGATGTTGCTAAAAAGAACATTATTTGGTGTAATGAAATGTGTTTATGCGGTTTAAGGTTCAAAAAATACATTATTTTCCACATACTATACATTATTGTTTCTCCTGTATGCCCCGCCTTTCTGAAACGCGTCGATTTTTACAAAGCTCATCGGTCTGAAAAGCGAGGTGTGCTCTGATTGGCCAGCTATCCAGTGCGTTGTGATTGGCCGAATACTTCAAGCGTGTGACGGAAATGTTACGTCCCTTACCATATTGTGATGCCCTGTCCGGCCGGAGCGACGAGACAAAAACATTAAAACCCATTATAAAAGAGCTTTCACAATGAAACACAGCGTCACACACGGCGGGCTAGAGTGAGCGGTGGCCGGGCTAGAGTGAGCGGAAGCCGGCAGTTTTGAGTGAGGAACAGCCGGCAGGCTAGAGTGAGCAGAGGCGGCGGGGCTTGAGAACGGAGCGGCCGGCCGGCCGGCCGGCTTGCGGCAACCACATGTGACGACCCCGGGCTGGGTTTACTTATTCAAAAAGAACAATTCAGAGCTGTTTTAATCTGTTTGATGGATCCTTGATGAATGAACTCACTGACAACTTTTAGTGATGAATATATTTATGAAATATTATATTTTATATTGTGTGTGTGTGTAGTGTGCATAAATCAGAATAAATCAGTAAATCAGCATACATTTTCTTAATGATAAAAATGTAAATGTTTTAAACATACTTAATAAAAACAGGGAATATGTCATTAATATCAGTAAAATAAATATAGTAGCCAGTTTTGTTTAAATGTAGGGATGCAAAAATGAGTATATCCTTGATTAAATTCAGCAAACATGTAATATTCTAGTACTTAGTATGTCCTCCATAACTTTAAGTATACTGCTTTGACCCTTCTTGACATTGTGTGTACAAGTTCTGTCCTGTTTAACCGCTTGAGGACAACCTCCATAAGTGCCTTGATCTTTATTGTGGTGCTCAAGAGCCTTAAGGCTGGGTGAAATTCTTGGTCACTGAAGGTTTTTCGCCTTGGGAAAATGTATATATTCATTGTCATGTTGAAAAAGTGCCCAACAATGCAGGGAATGAGGAGAAGATAGCATCTTCTGTTTCATGTTTTGTATTAAATCACACAATGGTATGTGAATTCATGACAGCTCAACTCCCTCACACCTTCAGCACTCATACATCCCTATAAAAGAGCTTTACTACCACTGAACTTCACTGTGGGAACCAGGCACTTCTTACTGTAGTGTCAAGACACTTGCTTGGCATATCCCTGTTCTTTTCCTAGCAAAAAAAATCACTGATCACAAAATAAAAGTGCAGGTCTGATTATTTCAGGGGCCTTGTCACAAGTCACAATTATTTTAGAATTTCTGTTTTATTTTTGTTAGATTTTCACACTTAAAACAATGATTTGGTATTCTTCTTGTACCACTGTCCTCTTTTGTGCAAAGAAATAAGTCTTCTGATGATTCTCTCCCTAGTGGTTTCAATGTTGTCTGTATTATGTCTGAATGATTCAGTGGGGTATGTAGCACTTTTAATTGTCAAGAAATGGCCCCTGTTTAAATGTTTTGGTTCAACATACCTAACTTTTGTCTATAGAAACTACGAATCCAAGGCACTTCTTCCAGTTCCAAAATGTTAAAAAGCCTTTATTCAAACATGGCTCACTGTAGAAACATTAAAAATGACTAAAACACTGCACACTGATGCATTTCGGCCATCCAGCCTTCCTCAGAGTGTGTCAAGTACAAAATTAGGCACAGGTGTAGATATAATCAGTTGCTCAGTAGAATACCTAACTTTTGATCAAAAATTGCCCAGCAATTAGTAACTAATTGCGTAGTATTAGTTCTGGCAGGTAACATGAGTCAAGCTTGCATCTGCTGACTCTCAACTGATCCACGTCTACCTATAGGAATACGACGCCTATCACAGCACTCCTATATAAGATCTATTCAGTATTATTTGATACTGCTTTCGCATGCTTTGGAGCAAATAACCCTCCTCCATCCCCAACTCAGGACTTGGCTTTCTAATATTCTAATATTGAATCAGACATCTTTTATCTTTAATAATGTTGTTACACTAAAATGTCATTAAGAACATTAATGAAATCGTCTCGGTTACGTACAGTATGTAACCCTCACTCCCTGAAGGAGGGAACCGAGACGTACATCGGAACTGACCAACGAATTGGGGATCGCTTTGGGAGACCAATCTACTTCGAGTGTAAGAAAAACGAGCAAATGCACATTGGCATGCGATAATTGCCACAGCTGCTCTGCGCTGCAGCGCGAGTATTTAATGAGCAGCCGGTGCGTCGCATATTTGCTTTTCCGCTGAGGAGCCGAGCTAGTGACTCGGCTGTACAGCGGAGGTACAATGACTATGGTGACGAGACTTACGTCTCCGTTTCCTCCTTCAGGGAAGGAGGGTTACATACATAACAGAGACGTTCCCTTTCAGTCGGTCACGTTCGACGTACGTTGGAACTGACGACGAATTAGAGATATCTACCAACACGCCACTGTCTCTGGCCCTTCCAGCGCTCTGCTTGAGACTCCTGGACCGCCCCCAACTGTTGGAGCGGGAGTCAGGGCTCTAAGCAGAGAAGGTCAGTCACTACTGTTCCGCAAGACCCACTCAGTGTGACTATTTGGATAATGCTGGGAAGCGTGCCCTAGAAGAGAAGGGGACGCTGCGGAGGCCACATCCTGCCCGTAGGAAGTAAAATGTGGCGGTTACACATATGGACTAGCCAATTAGGGTAATAAAACATATGGAAGTCTCTGGGGTGGTTCCAGCCTAGTTCTATGGGGGAAAGAACACCAGCAGAGATGACAGAGCGGGCTCTGTCGGGGGAAAGACACAGGCTAGCCGTCCTGGGTAGCCTTACCGTGGAAGAATACACATATGGGATTGCCGCAGGGACCACTACATATGGACACCCAGCCTAACACAGGTTCCACAACACATACGAGTATAGGCCTGGCGTCAGACGCTCCACCACGTCTGACTGCCGGGGGGTGACAGAGGAACTCACAGGGTTAGCCATTTCTGGGGAACTCTACTGGAGCAATAGACGCACGTATCCGGTCCAGCGGGTGGAAGTGGCATTGCAAGCCGACACTAGAACGGGCCCTTCATGCTACTGGCCACTAGGGGCGAGTACACTGGAAGATACCGGCTCTACACTGAGGCTATAGAATCTAGCGAACATGTTAGGTGTCGCCCAGCCCGCAGCTCTACAAATATCTGTCAGCGAGGCGCCTTGAGCCAGCGCCCAGGAGGAAGCAACACTTCTAGTTGAGTGTGCTCGCAACCTGAATGGCAGGGCTCACAAAATTTCAAAATACCTGGTAGCCCTTCGGGCAGGTACTCTTCAGATTTTGGTAGCCCAAAAATTTATTTAACTAGCCCAAATAAAAAAATACCTTTTTTTTTTTTAAATATAGAAAATCAGATAGGAGTTTAAATGTCAATCAAAAATATTTTCCATACACACATATCAACAAATATGAAGGAAGGAATTTTATTTCACTATTTACAGGGTATCTGCAGAATTTAAAAAAATACATTTAAGGCAATTTATGACCCATTTTAAGAGCTGCACAAGTAAAATGAACACAGTATGAGTGGGGTTGGACAATGTCTATGGTAACATACAGTATTGAGCCACAAAATTAGGCTACATGATTTACAGTTCAGATACAGGTTTTCACAAAAACCAACATTTTATACAACAGCATTTCAGCCTTTAGACCATTTTTATGAAAAGCGATAAATCAAGCATATAAATTATTGTCAATTTAAAACGTATAAATTAATTTAATCTCAATTAATAATCTCAATTGTTTAGATTTTTAGAAGGCACATTAACTTCTTTCTCATTTACAACTCTGTGTGTTTGCTGCGTAAAAACATGAGTTGATATTTGCATTGATCTGACCATAAACCGCAAGAAAGGCTTGTTGGAAATGCAAATTCATTCTCTGCCACGAGGTGGCACTTTAGGAGCGCTGAAATATTGCAGTTTCCCCGGTAACGGCTGTTCACAAAGCAGCTCCGCGCTCATAAATGCTGCTTTATCAGGAATTATAGGTAAAATTTAATTAAAATGTCAATGACACATTTCTGAGGACAGTCGGTTCCCTTCAGATACATTCAAATAAAGACATCTACGCCGCGTTTTGACTTGAAACGTGCACCGCTCATATTTATGCAATGACATCATTGCCTTTTGAAGTTTAATCCAGCCGTATCGCAACTCTTGTCTTTCTGTCCCCAACTGTAAGACCTCTTGAAATTATAATTAAGACATTTCTTATACCATTTAAGGGCAGAGTGGTGATACATTTTGGTAGCCCGACTGGAAAACACAATAGCCCTGGGACGTCGGGCTAGCAATTTTGCGAGCCCTGTGAATGGGCAAGGCACGTCTTGGGATTAGTAAGCCAAGACAATAGCATCCACTATCCAGTGGGCTAACCTCTGTTTGGAGACAGCCTTCCCCTTCTGCTGGCCTCCGTAACAGACAAAGAGCTGGTCTGAGGTTCTGAAGATTTGTGTTCTGTCCACGTACAGCCGCAGAGCGCGGACGGGACAGAGAAAAGCTAGGGCTGAGTCTGCCTCCTCCGAGGGCAGTGCTTGCAGGCTCACTACCTGGTCCCTGAAGGGAGTGGTAGGAACCTTGGGCACATATCCAGGCCGGGGTCTCAGGACAACAACAGAGTTGGCCGGCCCGAATTCTAGACACGATTCATCGACCGAAATGCCTGCAGGTCCCCTACCCTCTTGATGGAAGCCAATGCAGTCAGGAGAACTGTCTTTAGTGACAGAATTTTCAACTCGGCTGACTGCAAAGGTTCAAAGGGAGGTCTCTGCAGTGTCGTGAGCACCAGAGACAGGTCCCAAGAGGGTACCAAGGTAGGACGAGGAGGGTTCAACCTCCTCGCCCCTCTAAGGAACCTGACGACCAGGTCATGCTTACCAAGAGACTTACCATCAACTGCATCGTGATGTGCGGCAATTGCGGCAACATACACTTTGTCCCGAATTCTAGACACGATTCATCAGCCGAAAATGCCTGCAGGTCCCCTACCCTCTTGATGGAAGCCAATGCAGTCAGGAGAACTGTCTTTAGTGACAGAATTTTCAACTCAGCTGACTGCAAAGGTTCAAAGGGAGGTCTCTGCAGTGTCGTGAGCACCAGAGACAGGTCCCAAGAGGGTACCGAGGTAGGACGAGGAGGGTTCAACCTCCTCGCCCCTCTAAGGAACCTGACGACCAGGTCATGCTTACCAAGAGACTTACCATCAACTGCATCGTGATGTGCGGCAATTGCGGCAACACTGTCAGCACCATCACACCCGCACCAGACACGCAGAGGCTCCTTCCTAAACGAGCAGCTTGTCTTCCACCACTTTCCAAAGTAAAAACACAAGTAGGAACAGCACATGTGTTCGGGTCCGAAGCGAAAAGCAAAAATGCGAATCACCGGCTGCTCATTAAATATTTGCGCTGCAGCGCAGAGCAGCTGTGGCAATTATCGCATGCCAATGTGCATTGGCTCGTTTTTTTTTACACTCGAAGTAGATTGGTCTCCCAAAGCAATCCCCAATTCGTCAGTCAGTTCCGACATACGTTGCACGTGACCGACTGCAAGGGAACTGAATTCGGTTCTGTCCTGTTTACATTTGGCTTGCTTAGTTGGGGACACAATCTCTGGCAACATTGTTGACTTGACTGCACAGACACTATTGGAAGAGAACTGAACTGAGCTGGATGATGGTATCACTGAATCAACAATGAACTGACTTTAACCGATAAACTGACTGACTGTCATGTGGCGTTCTTGTGTCATGTCACAGGGTGTTGTTAGTGGGGTGTTGCTGGTGACGCCCAACAACATCATGTTTGACCCTCACCGGACAGACCCTTTGGTTCTGGAGAGAGGCTGTGAGGAGTACGGCATCATGTGTCCACTGGATGAGGTTCAGTCTGCAGCCGTTTACAGAGAGATCACCGACAGCAAGATCCGTGACTCCATACCACCGTAAGACCTCTCGCTTCATACTGACACAGCATAGAGTTAGTTGTTTGTCTTTTACTTGGCTAAGACATGTTAGTATTTAAATAATTCTATAAATGCATTTAATAAAATACAGAATCAGATAATTAATCGAAATTGAATATTATTGTGAATCCAATCAAAATTAATCATTCTGAATTTGCAAAACATTGTTCTTGAACGAATCGGAAACTTATTATTAATTAGGATTCACATGCCCATGCCCATTCTTGTCCTCGCTTTACTATAAGTGGTGCAAAGGCCAAAAAACTAAATTATAAAAAACGACTTGAGCCACCAGACTAGTAGTTACATGTTAAGCGTTACATGTTATTAATTGGATTCATCTTCAGATGTCTTTTCTAGATTGAAGATCTCTCATGTGATAAGTCAATATTTTGTTTGCGGTGTGCATGTATAATTATTTCAGATATCTACTGTTCAGCTTTATTATACAGGAAATGGATTTTTACTCTTAAGGCTAATGAAGCATGAATTCAGCTGCCTACGTCTGAATTACTCACCCATTTCGATTTGTAATAAGAAGTTAAATTTTTTTTTGCAGTGTTTCCACCCCCAGATATTTATATCCTCTGTTAGTTTATGAATGATGATGTGTTTTATTCAGCTCAGAGCTGTGTTGGTTGGTTCACCAGTCAGACGGGGTTCACTGCAGGGTCGCAGGTGTGGATGTGAAGCATAGACGCCTTTGATCGTGCAGATGTACAGACAGAGGGACCTACTTTTCATTTATGCACTTTTATGTTGGCTTGTACTCTTATTAATTGCTCCAAAGGGTTTTGATTATGTACTTCTATCCACCTCCCACCTACCATCCAGACAGACACACGTCATTGTGCACTTGTGTTTCAGATGTCTCAAGCTGTGGCTTTACTGCAGTACAGAAGCCACATCTGACATGACATATCATGATAAGAAGTCTGTGCATTTTAGACTTTTTAATATGACACAGAAATATCACAGTAGTGAGAAACAGGGCATAAGAGAATCAAAAGTTGATTCTCGTGCACAGCACGCTATGGTTGTCACATTACCTTAGTCACTGAAATTTCACAACATCATGTTGTTTGGAAGTGGGTTTGTATTATGTTGTTGTATTAAGTCTTCACAGTTTTTACAGTATCTTTACATTTTAATTAAAATTTTAAAAATTCATTTAAAAAAGGAAATAAAAATAGGAAACAATCATTCTTAGCATTGTTGTTATTGTTAGTATTACAGAATTCAATAATATTCTAATTATTGAAACCTCTAATTAAAAATAATGTGAATAAAAGAAGGAAAAATTATTACTATTTTTACTGAAGCTTCTTAACAAAAACAACAACAATAATAATAATAATAATGTGAATAAAAACATATTCTTTTTATATTTACAATATTATTTGTCTTTATTTCCTTTTACAGAGCATTGCAATGTGGGCTGATTAAACCCTTAAAATTTTTGGAGAAAACTGAATGAAGCTTCTCAATAATAATAAACCCACAATTAAATAAGTAATGTTTTTTTTACATTATTATTATTATTATTGAATTATTATTATTGTTATGAATATAGAATTATTATAATTATATTAATAATTATTTTACCATATTTATTTGTAAGTTTTTCACTTTCTTGTTGCATTGCAGTGTGGACTGATTAAACCCTTACCATTTTTCAGAGAAAACTGAATGCACACATTTTAAGAACACATGTACATTTACTTTCACTTTCACTAATCATTTAGCTGACGCAAAGTGACTTACAAATGAGGACAATAGAAGCAATTGAACCAACAAAAGAGCTACAATATATAAGTGCTGTGATAAGTCCCGGTTAGTCTAATGCAGTTCACATAGCAAGGCTTTTTTTCCCTTTCTTTTTTAAATCATAAATAAAAAGAATATAAATTAGATAGAAAAGAAAATAGAATAGAGAGAGCTGGTGTTAGAGGGTCAGGCTATTGTTATTTTTATAATAATTAAAAAGTAAGCAAAGTAGATAGAATAGACATAGTTTAACATTTAACATTTAAATGGTGCAGTCCTTCTATTGTTTTGTTTATTATTTCATGTTATTTCAGACATAACTAAGTTAAGTGTGGTGCATACAATGGTATCTGTGAATGATTATTTATGCTATTACCATTGAAGAATATTATGAAGTTGAACCAAAGCCACATCATAGAGCAGTAAAGACACCTTTAGATATGCAATATTAGTTTTCTAGAAGGTGCATCTCTCATTCTCTCTGTTTGTGCCACAGGGATTTTGAAGCCGTGTTCTCTGGAAGCTCTCATCAAACAGATCAGCGTCTGCGGGAGGGTTATGACAGCGCCAGCACTGCCCCCCGCAGCACCGAGGGCTCCATCTCAGAGGACGTCTTCACAGAGTCAGAGCTCTCGCCCATCCTGGAGGAGCGCAGTTCACATAGCAAGGCTTTTTTTTTTCCTTTCTTTTTTAAATCATAAATAAAAAGAATATAAATTAGATAGAAAAGAAAATAGAATAGAGAGAGCTGGTGTTAGAGGGTCAGGCTATTGTTATTTTTATAATAATTAAAAAGTAAAAAAAGTAGATAGAATAGACATAGTTTAACATTTAACATTTAAATGGTGCAGTCCTTCTATTGTTTTGTTTATTATTTCATGTTATTTCAGACATAACTAAGTTAAGTGTGGTGCATACAATGGTATCTGTGAATGATTATTTATGCTATTACCATTGAAGAATATTATGAAGTTGAACCAAAGCCACATCATAGAGCAGTAAAGACACCTTTAGATATGCAATATTAGTTTTCTAGAAGGTGCATCTCTCATTCTCTCTGTTTGTGCCACAGGGATTTTGAAGCCGTGTTCTCTGGAAGCTCTCATCAAACAGATCAGCGTCTGCGGGAGGGTTATGACAGCGCCAGCACTGCCCCCCGCAGCACCGAGGGCTCCATCTCAGAGGACGTCTTCACAGAGTCAGAGCTCTCGCCCATCCTGGAGGAGCGGCAGTCCACAGAGGAGCTACAGCAGGAGGACAAGTCATCAGGAGCCTCGTCCCAATCCATGCAGACCCTCCTTCAGGAACCTCAGACGGCTGAGGGCAGCCATTCAGAGGAGGAGGAGAAAAAGCCAGAGGAGGGAGAACCAGCCAGCGAAACTGCCCAGCCCAAACAACCCAGCCAGGAACAGCCAAGCACACCCACCAGCAGGGACCACCAGCAACCACCCCACTGCCAGACCGAAGGAGTCGCCCCCTCCTTAGGTTCTCAAAGCTTGGCCCCAGGAGCAGGGGAGGCCTCGGGACAGGAAAGCAGCCCCGATGGGGCTAAACTGACCAGAGATGGTACTCGAGATTCAGAGACGGATGTAGAGGAGCTGAGAAAGATGTGGAAGAGTCACACTATGCAACAAGCCAAGGAACAGCGAGAGAGTGTCCAGCAGGCCCAGAGAGAGAACGACCAACAGTCTAAGAGCAGCCAGACACTGAGCTCTGCTGAGGGTACGACAACATCTTCTCCAATATTTCTGCAATTTGTGCTACTTACCAGTCTGTGATTAACACCTTTTAGAGGGGTCATAGGGTTTTTATACATTTATGTGTTATGCTTAATGATTAATTATTAATTTAATTAATAGTTATTTAATATATATGAATAGTCTAGAATATATATATATATATATATATATATATATATATATATAAATGATTGTGTGTGTGCATTAAATATATATTGTATTATTAGATGTAAATTAATAATAGAATTATAATAAATATAATAATTTTAATAGAATTATAATTATTTAATAGAATTATTTTATGTATAATAAACCTTAAATATAATACATTTTAAACATTTTATATTTAATTTAATTTGAATTATTTAATTATAAATAATTATAAATTTGTTTTATATATGATAAAAATGGATGAAATGTTAAAACTCAAAATCCTACTTTTTAAACCGTTTTTAAATATGAACATTTTAATCTGTTTATATATTTTACTGTTTATCAATTTATTTTATTTTATACAATTATATATATATAGAGAGAGAGAGAGAGAGAGAGAGAGAGAGAGAGAGAGAGAGAAAGAACTTTATATTGTGTAAAAAGTGAGCTGAAAGGTGCTTCGAAATGAAAAGTGGCTCACCTGTTTTCACCTGAGGGAGCGCAGGGACACTTGACCATGGCTTTTACACGCTGCTTTGATCTGTCGAGGCCAGACTGTGCCAGCAGCCCTTTCTCTGACCGAGAGATAAGCTAAAGCCCATCAAACATGACAACTGCACATACACACTAACATTACAACACACAGCAGAAACTACAGGCAGTTCTTTCCTTAAAAGTATAGCTGAAAATATATTAACTAGAAATAATGGGATTAATCACAGGATGTTGACATTGATTTAAATCTGTTGACAGAAATAGTATGTATTTTATCAGTCACCCAAGGCTGTTTATATATTGCCTGAGGTGTCGATTTTGTGTTGATACTGATGTAGCAGAGGTGTAGCCTCAGCAAAAAGCATGCTCTTATGTTAGGTTCTGTCTTGGTTTCCAAAAAAAAAAAAATCTATACCAAATACCAAATACACTACAATTACAATATCAAATACACTCAAATGTTAGGGGTCAGTTAAAAAATGTTATTAGGGCTGTCAAAATTAACATGTTAATAACACGTTAACACAAACTAATTTTAACGGCACTAATTTTATTAACGCGTGATTAATGCAGCGCACATGTTATGTTTGACCTGTTGCCTAGCCCGTAGTTGGAGAAATGGAGATCAGTACCGCCGAGTCCACAGTTTGCGTAGGGCACCAACTCCCAGGGGGGGCACCATCCCAGTTGCTCAAATAAAAAATTAAAAAACGTGATTCCCGCATCCGCGCTCGCTACCGCTTGTACCTCATGTTTGCGGCTGAATGCAAATGGTCATAATTGATGGACAACTATGCCTGTGAAAAGACATCAGCAATCCAGCGCCGAGATAAGAAAAAAAAAGTGAAAACGAAGCCTGTGCATCACTTTCAGGCACATTCAAAATCCTGTAAAACTTTTTTGGCTGTTGACGTTAATAACGTGTTTTAATGTCGGTAATAATTTCCCCACCATCAACGAATCTAATATTCTCTCTGAGTTTCCATGTTCCCTTACGAAAATTAGCCATGGTTTTAACACGAATAAAACCAAAAATCATGGTTCTTGTAGCCATGGTAACCGCAAATTAACCATGGTTTTGTTACTTAAAATAATAATTTACAAATAAGTATTAAGATTATATCTTTTGTGGTTATAAAAACAGACCTAAGCCAACAATAGCCTTTCAAATGACTTGACTTCGGGGCAGCCGGCGGGCTTGAGAATGCCGTGGCCAGCGGGCTTGAGGGAGCTGCAGCCTGTGGACTTGGCTTTGGAGCTGCCGGCGAGCTTGACTTTGGAGCGGCCGGCGAACTTAAATGAGCAGTGGCCGGCGGGCTTGACAGCGGTCTGGTTCTGGCTCGGGCCCGGACACACCCCAGACACCGAAAGATCCCTGGGAGGTCCACGGGGCGATGGTAGTTGGCCCCGAGCCAGAACAGAGAATTGATGGTGGAGTCATCCAATGCCGCTGCCCCGGCGAGCCTGTAGAATTCCCAGGTGTGCTCGAAGAAGGGGAGATCTCGGCGGGCTAAGGCAGAGAACTGAGCGGCTATTTCCATCGCCGTGGGGAGAAACAAACAG